TACAAAAAAGACCGACTCTGATTAATACACGCATACATATATAAAGAATAATATATGTATGTATATATACAATTAAGGGTTTAAGTCTCTTCTACTCTTCTTCTCCTACCTATCACATCGACAATGGCTTCTCTTTTGACCTCTCCTCTAACAAAGCCCAAGCCCGTTTCCTTCTCTTGTTCATCACGAGCTCTAAACACATCACCGTCGTTGAATTTCGCCAGAGTTTCATTCAACCACCACCAAAAGCTCGCTCCTTTCAGACCTCTGAGCCTCGTACCGGCAGCATTCTCTGAAAAGAGGGATGTCACGGCAGCTGCAGCGGCGGAGGCGGCGCCTGCGGAGTCGGGAGACTACAGGAGGATAATGCTCTCCGATGTGATGGTGAAGAAGAAGGATAAGGTGCCTCTATGGGAGAGACAATGGAAGCCGATGGATTTCGGAGCTGTTGCTGTGGTTTTGTCGATGCATTTGCTTAGCTTATTGGCTCCGTTTCAATTCAATTGGAGAGCTGTTTCGGTTGCTTTTGGGCTTTACATCGTCACAGGTCTTCTGGGCATTACTCTGTCTTTCCATAGGAACCTCTCTCACAAAAGCTTCAAGCTTCCCAAATGGCTTGAGTACTTGTTCGCTTATTGCGGAGCTCAAGCTCTTCAGGTGAGTCATTACACAATTGTTGGTAATGTAGTTTGTGTCTCTATTGGAATGTTGAATTGTGGGAATTGATGTTTCTTCAGGGGAACCCAATTGATTGGGTGAGTACGCATAGGTACCATCATCAGTACTGTGATTCGGACAGAGATCCTCATAGCCCACTTGATGGGTTTTGGTTCAGTCATATGAATTGGATGTTTGATACCAATACAATCACCAAAAGGGTAAAAAGTTTCGTTCTTTTTGCTTTCTCATTGTCTGAATAAAGTGTTTCTCTTTTTGTTTTCATTAACTTAAAAATACTCTGTGTTTTGTATTTTTGATTGTTTGAAGGTTGGAGAGCCGAATAATGTTGGGGATTTGGAGAAGCAGCCATTCTATCAGTTCATGCGAGACACTTACATTTGGCATCCGGTGGCTCTAGCGGTTGCTCTATACGCAATGGGTGGCTTCCCCTTCATCGTCTGGGGAATGGTATGTTCTGTTTTTTGAATATTGCATGTTGAATCTATCAGTGTTAGATTTCCAGATTTGGCTATAGAGGGTTACGATGTGTTTTAGCTCCAAAAACAAGATAAATCCACCAGTTGCGTTTTTTGTGGCTATCAATTTTTCTGGTCCAAATCTCCTCACTTCCGTTTTCTTGTCATTTAGTGCAATTCGGATTTATTGATCTTAGGCCACGTAAGTTGTGTTAGTTGAGAAGCCAGAACTCATAATAAGTAAATATCTTTTCTTTCTTGTAAGAAAGAAGATATATGGCTCATGCTTTTCTCGTGAACTTGGAGACTAAATTCGATTTGGTTGTGTTTAGAAATAAGACAACATTTTGCATGCTAAAAAGCGATATTACATTGACAATTTAAGCAAATTCGTAAACGGCACGAAAGTAGGATAAAAGGCACAAGAAACTTAAATTTTCCGACTATTACGTCTCTAATTTATTTTTTAATGTATTTGCAGGGTGTTAGAATAGTGTGGGTGTATCATATAACTTGGCTAGTGAACTCAGCTTGTCATGTTTGGGGCAAACAAGCATGGAACACCGGTGATTTGTCTAGGAACAATTGGTAAAGAAACTCATTCATTGAGAAATTATATTTATATATAAATAAATCTATGTACTTAAAGAAACTTGGGATTATGATCGATATTTCAGGTGGGTAGCAGCTCTAGCATTTGGGGAAGGATGGCACAACAATCATCATGCTTTCGAGTTCTCAGCTCGACACGGCCTAGAATGGTGGCAACTTGATATGACTTGGTACGTCGTTAGATTCCTCCAAGCCATCGGTTTAGCAACCGATGTTAAGCTGCCTTCAGAAGCTCAGAAACAACGAATGGCATTGACCACCGACTGATCAAGAAATTTGGTTATGTCCGGAATCAGAACTGTGCGATTTGGAGCTATCAAAAGGGTTTTTGTACTTTTTTTGTTTGTTGTTGGTTTTACATAAAAGGTATATATATTCTGTGCAAGACATTGTATAAGTGACAAACTGATTATGAATTTGATATATATCTATAATTACATTCCATACAAAAAAAAAAAGAAAGAAAGAAAAGAATAATTCATGTTACGTGTGGCCAAGGTGTCCATGGCAATTCTAGATACTCGACCGGTTTGAGTGTTGGAAATACGGTTTTGAAATCCCATTCAAGGCCTCTAAACATGATCCCTTTGGGTGTTGCTACGTGGGCGCATGAAGATTTAGGGCACATCTCGGCGTCAAGATATGTGTTTTCAACCACGAGCGTGGCTGATCCTAAGGCGGATCGGAAAAAGCAGACGTGGATCGCCGGTATCTTGCTTTCGCCTTTTATGAGGATGATTGGGAATGAGAACTGGAATCCTGGCTTTGGAGATCGATGCCAGCCGTAGTCTTTGCGTTTAGATTGGCATCGATAGACGATTTCGGGGCGCTTAAGTCCGGTCATTTCGTTTCGAATTGTTATGCTCATGTTCACGTAGTCTGGTTCCGTGAGCGCCAAGGTTTTGGAAGAGATCATGATGGCTTGCAGAAGAAGACACCATCGAGCTAGGATTTTGATGACGTTGTTGTTGAGATCCATTCTTTGTTTTTTTTGTGTGTTCTCTCGATCGTTTGTTAGTCTCTCCCTCACAAATATATGTTAAGTATCATGGCATACTTAGAAACCGAAGCTGTTATTTCTCTTATTTTCTAAAATAAAAAGCAAACAAACGGTTTTATTTAGTCAGAAAAACAGGTTACATATGCTAAAAATGAAGATTTAAGAAACGGTTTTAATTTTGTCATAATTCCGGTGGAATATGTTGTCTGGGTCTAACAAAACTTTGTTGTCAAACACGCACCACTAAATGGATATGGATGATATTTATTTTCAGTTTAGTATTATTGAAAGTGGCATGGATTCAAATGGAGCTAGGTTTTGCAAAAAACATTTGGGAAACTCGTGGACCAAAAACATTTAACGTATGCTATAGCCTATTTCATGAGCAAGTACTTACTGGGGACTGGGGAGAGCTTTGTTCACTGGCTAGAGACTTAGAGTTTTCGATATTTACATTTTGGCAGGTTGTGAGTGAATAGTTAGTTGGATCTTCTTTCACCTACTTGCTCCCTCTGACCCTCTCCTCCATTATTTGCGTACGAATAGCACTTCCTAACGCTTGTGAAGGTATTATCGATCACTTGTAATTGTACCCTTTTTTTGTGTTCATTAAGTGCCAAAACTTAAATCTCTACCAAATTAAAAGGCTAAAACTCATTTGTACTATACGAGAGTCAAACGTGTGAATATGATCATCACAACCGTTCTTTTTTCGTTTTTGTTTTTACTGCGAAAATGCGAATTGTTAACAGCCAAAGGATAAATTAATTACACTCGCTTGTCGTATATGATAGAATCATTTATATGAAGCTTGAAGAAACATCCTCAAACTTTCTATCCAATGTAATATGAACACATTCTGATGCATTCACTCTAAAAAAAGCTTCTTGGTTTGTATATAATTTTACATTTAATTCAGAAATGACAGATTTCTCATTTCTACATGCTACAACAATTTAGTTTCGCTTGTAGTAATTGATAGAGTCATCATTTATAATAGAATAAAAAAATACAAATATCTTTATATGGTAAACGAATAACTTGAGTCATGTGTACATATACTAGCTCATTGGGTATGTATGTCAAGGCATGAGGCATCAACTATACCAACCTAAACCCATGGCGTTTGTATCTACAACTCTACAACCGCTTTCTCCTTTTTCACCATTTGTCAAACAACATAATCCCAATAGTAATACTCATGCCTTGCTCGCTTATCAGACACCCAACTCTACAAACTCCCTTTTCTCCAAACGAGGAGGATCCGTGGCTCACAAGAAACACACGTCCGTGGCTGTTCATGGTGCACCGGATCAGGTTCAGAGCTCCTGGACAATACCCTTGTCGGAGGTTGTGGTGGTGAGAAATAAGAGGGCATTTTGGGAAAGGGGTTGGAATTCTAGGGACGTCAGAAATTTAGTCATAGTCGTAGGGGTTCATTTGATGAGCCTCTCGGCTCCGTTCTACTTCAATTGGGTGGCTTTTAAGCTTTTCCTTTGGCTCTTTTGGGTGAGCGGACTCTGCATCAGCTTGTCTTTTCATAACAATTTGTAATTCACCAAAAAACATAATTAATTATCAATTTGTAACTGAGGGCTTACATAAATCTGATCAAAGACTTAGTATTGTTCTTATAATTATGTAACAACGGGTAGGATCCATCCTAATTCGACTTTCTGCTCCAAATAAGGTAATGTAAAATGATCATTATCTTTCTAAGTGTGTTTTACATGTCTAAATATTTACTAAGCATCAAGACACATGTAAGTTCCAAAAAGATATGTACAACTCATATAAAGAAGCAAGAAAAATGAGTGATTTGATCCGTTATAAAAGAAGTACGGGATGTTAAGATTTTTGAAGATTTTAGCTAATTGACCTGTGCTGCTACAAGTCATGACCAAGTGATTTAAACTAATGGAAATGCTAAACCTCTTACGTAAAAAACTCAACATCTTCTTTGATGAATACACGTCGCCGATTTCTCCAAACTTCAAGCTCCGACAACTTTTTATCTTCACCATATTTTCCATCACGAACTTATACCAATTAATCATATAAAATCGATTTCACATCATCATTCGAAAAATAAGGATACGATTTATGGAGAGAAACTCCATAAATCGATTTCCCTTTGACGACTGTATTTTGTTCCGTTTATTTATTCATTAATGTTACAAAAAAAACAATTGATTTGGGCTATAATTGCAATGTCCAGAACCGACCAATTGTGGGTTAAACAAACATGTACATCGTTATTTATTTCGGTAATGTCTCATAAAATCAGGTTTTTAGTGTCTCCCTAAATTAAACATACAAACCCATAAATATCTCATTTTCATCATACAATTAGGTCATAGATACCTCATTTTCATCATACAACTGAATAATATCTTAGCCCTAAATTAAACTAATGATAGTTTAATTATCACATTCACCTAATTCACCCAATTAGCATAACTAATGTTTTTTATAAGATACAACAACCCGTGTTGTAGGAGCACGGGTCAAGATCTAGTAAACCCTTAAAACTCTTACGAAATTTTGTAATTTTTTCTCTACTGATTGATCAGATTGCAAGTTGGATCAAACAAACCTGATTGATCTGCAACACAAAAAGAAAGCTCAAGCTTAAAAGATCAATGCTTTCCAGTTTTTGCGCCGATTCATCAGAAGTGCTTGTAAAGTTTTTATTAAATGTATTTTGATTTTAATAATTTTTTTTAAGAACTTCTATACGGTCTTACCAATAGAAGAACAAAACATTTAAATCAAATACAAGTCTTTTTAAACAAACAAAAAAAATTATTAATAAAAAAGTGTAGTGATACCCCATCTGTTATGAGGTAATCAACAATCTGTCAAAATAATATTTCTTCCGTTAAACCTCCATACCATTTCACTGGGGAATAGAAGCCTAGACGATGTTGAAATCCTAGGCATAGACTCTATCTCCTTTTGTCTCTCTTCAAGATTGCAGGTTGGTCGTTTGAAGTAGATTTCCACTGTCTTTAAACATTTTGAGTGAGCGAGAATGTATGTCAATAGTTGTTTATCATCTTCTCTTCCTCCATAGTCGAACCACACAAACATTTCTAGATGAGACGAAAAGCATCCGGGAGCAGAACTGGGCTGGTTCCAAAGGGCCCCATTTATCTGATATCAGTCAAATATTCACGTTAATATTAACTTCATCAAAAAATTAGATGCGCTCTTGTAGAAGGGAGGATGCTACTTACAGCTTCGATCGTAAGAGATTTTAATTTAGGAGAATTCTGAAGCAAAAACATAAGTGGTTTCAAACAATCTACTGATTCATCTAGACAAGATAGGTAAATCTCTATGAGCCGAGAGAACTCAATGGCGTTAAAACATACAACCTGTGATAGAAAAAAAAAAAAAAAAAAAATTAGCAACACGGAACAAAAGAGAGGGCCAGTGATATTAATAGCTACCTTTGATATGGTCAAATTCAAGTGCAGATGTATAGTAGAAGAAAGAGATCTGAGAAGCTTGTCATCGGGGTTATGAACAACGATGTTTGCCACATTAAGGCAAGCCATGTGGTCTATGATTAAGCAGTCTTCCCAAACGTCAATTAAGCGCAAATTCGTTAATGCAGGGGAATCGATTACCAACGACCTAATGAGATCATCCTCTTCCTCTTCCTCTTCCTCTTCCTCTTCCTCTTCCTCTTCCTCTTCCTCTTCATTATCTTCCTTCGTCCAAGCATAATATAATGTTTGTAAGGAAGACACTTTCACGGTAAAGTTTTTCAAGTTGTCATCCTTATGTCTTTCCACCCTCAGATACTCGAGAACCGGGGAACTTGATAAAAGCCTAGCAAGAGAGTCTTCGTCTTTATACACCACGTTTAAGAGACTCAAATCTGTGAGAGAAGGTAGGCAAGCCAGTGAAGAAACATCCACAAGGATCTTGTTTGATAGAGATAACATAACGAGCGTTTTGCATGTGTAAAGGCTCTTAGGAAAGCTTGTGGGCTCCGCTTTCCAGAGGAGCGTCAAATCTAACTCTTCCACACCACGATTAACTGCCTTCTCAACCCACTCTCGGACATCCACGTCAACACGACAACCTGGACCGATTTCGGTAATCAAGCACTCTAGTTTCGGGGCCTTATGGAGTTGCAATGACTTGTTAATAAACCACGCAAATCTGTCGCTGCCTTCATCTATGAAGGCGAGTTCAGGCAGCATCGTCCAGACATAACGCCATCGTTTAGACAAGATTGAAGTAGCGACTGCATCTTTTGTCGGGACAAAGAGCAAGATCAGCACGAGCAGATGGTCGGGAAAATCACAGATTCGCTGACAACCTTCGGTTTCTAGAACAGATGATAGATCATGCTTACCCATAGATGTGAGAACCTAAGCGCCTGTGGAACCAAACGCTAATCCCTCTTTACTTCTTTCAGGGAAAAACCCTAATTTTTGTTTTTCCACACAAAAGTAACTCTTAAATATAACACACGTTTATATCTCACTGTAAGTCTAGATTGTTTTTTACTCCGTATGAAACCCAGGTTTATATTAGTGCATTTAAAAAGAAGCAAAACTTGCCAAATATTGAAAAGTAAAACTGCAACAAAAAAAGAGAGGAAAAAAGCGATGTAATTATATATGTGAATGTTGCGAGCATATATGAAAGGCTTTTTGGCCATTCTCTAAAAAGCAACCAAATAATTATTTTTTCTCCGACCTCTTAAATCTGTTCACCGTCATCATCTTCCATCATCCAATAAGTCTCTGATTTACCCTTTCTTCGAGCTTGGGGTAAGCTTCTAGTTAGGGATTTTATCATCGTAGCTTTTCCCGTACGTAACAGTCTAGTATAGAGGGAATAGGGTTTTGTTGCGTTGGCACCATGGGTTTGTCAAGGTTTGATCCAGAAATCGAAGGTTGTCAGAGAATATGTGATCTGCCCGACGATTTGCTATTGCGGATCTTACTCCTCCTCCCGGCAAAAGATGCAGTGGCCACTGAGATCTTGTCTAAACGATGGCGTTACGTCTGGAAGATGCTGCATAAAATCGCCTTCATAGAAAACCAAGACAGCGAGAGCTTTGGTCGGTTTATTGACAAGTCACTGCAACTCCACAAGGCACCGAAGCTAGTAAACCTGGTTGTCGAAGTGGGTCCACGATGTCCTGTTGACGTAGATGTCAGAAAGTTGGCTGACAAGGCAGTTAACAAGGGTGTGAAAACGTTAGTTTTCAAGCTCCTCTGGACAGGAGAGCCCACAAGCTTCCCTAAGAGCCTTTACACATGCGACACGCTCGTTTATTTATCTCTATCAAACCAGATTCTCGTGGATGTTTCTTTCCCGGCTAGCCTACCATCTCTCTCATATCTGGCTCTTTCCAAAGTGGTTTACAAAGACGAAGACTCTCTTGCTAGGCTTTTATCAAGCTCCCCTGTCCTCCACGAACTGGTGGTTGAACGACATAAAACTTTTGGTTGAGGACAACTTGACAAACTTTACAGTGAAAGTCCCGTCATTGAAAATATTAAGTTATTGGACTGGTTGGCGAGAGCAAGAGCAAGAGCAAGAGCAAGAGCAAGAGGAATATCACATTGGGTCGTTGGTGATAGATTGCCCTGCATTAACAGAATTAAGTTTAGTTGACCATTGGGGAGACTATTGTAGTGTGACAGAGAATATGCTTTGCCTTGATGAGGTATACATTGGCTATCTTCCTAACCATGATGAAAAGTTTCTGACATGTCTTTCTTCTGCCACACGTCTGTGCTCGTATTTGTCCGAATTAATGGTAACGGTTACATACCCCGATCTCCTTTGTTCCTTGTTCCTTGCAGGTTGCTCAACTAATCTTTTCTTTTCATTTATTTCTTTTTGTAGGCTGCGTGTTGTGACGCCGTTAAGTTCTCTCGGCTCGTAGATTTAGTCTTTCAATCAGAAGTAGACTGGTTGGAACCACTTATTTATTTGCTTGAAAACTCTCCTAAGCTGAAAACTCTTACGCTCTCCACCGCGGTAAGTACCCTCATCCCTTAGAATGTGAACATCTAGTTTTGATGAATGTAAATTAATAAAAGTGTAATGGTATCAGGGATGTCCCTTATCTTCCTGGAACCAGCCGAGTACTATTCCCGGATGCTTATCGTCTCATCTAGAGATTGTTAGGTGGAAAGACTATGAAGGCAAAGAAGATGAGAAACAACTAATGACATACATTCTCGCTAACTCACGATGTTTAAAGACAGTGGAGGTCTCCCTCGTAGCAACCAGCGATCTTGAAAAGTGCCAAAAGGAGTCAGAATCTATGCCTAGGATTTCACCATCTTGTAGGCTTCTTTATTCTATCCCTCAAGCCGACTGGACATTTTAGCTAGCTACTTCATCTTGATCTCGGTTTTGTGAACAACTCTATTTACTAGATTATTTGTAGCATTATCATTATTATGTTACTTCAATAGATTTTTTTTTCTTTCTTTCCAAATGGACTCTAGTGCTTAATGGAACAGTATATGCAAATGTAATGGTATCAGGGATATCCCTTATCTTCCTGGAAC